CCCTGACATGGCTACGCCCCCTGCTGCAGCCCCTGACATGGCTACGCAACCTCCTGCAGCCCCTGACACGGCTACACCCCCTGCTGTAGCCCCTGACACGGCTATGTCCCCTCCTGCAGTCCCAGAGATGGCTACGTCCCCTCATGCAGTCCCAGAGATGGCTACACCCCCTCCTGCAGCTCCCGAGACCGCTACAGACAGCTTTTTTTTTTTTTTTTCTCCTTCCCGGGGAAGGTGCTGAAAGACTATGCCGATCAGCTCTGCGAGGCGCTGACCAAATTCTTTAATGCCTCACTTACCCTGGCAACAGTTCCCACCTGCCTTTGCAGAGAGTGGTGAAGGCTGCACAGAAGATGTTGGAGTCAGTCTCCCCACCATCACAGACATCTACACCTCCAGATGCAGGAAGAGGACCACCTGCATCATGAAGGACCACACTCACCCAGCACACACACTTTTTGTCCCGCTCCCCTCAGGAAGGAGGTTGAGGAGCATTAAGTGTAGAACCACTAGACATCGTTCCTCTCTGTCCAGGATGTGGGAGAGGAACGATGGTTTGAGAGAGGAGTAAAGGAGGCCATCTTTGTGAAAAGAAACCGTCCATCATTAAACAGGGGTGGAGCCTCCGGGTTCAACTGTCCCCCTCTTACAATGCTGTGATTGCTAGTATCACTCAGCCCTCTGTGAGTAGTAAACAGCCATCAGGTGCTAATGATCCATTGTTAGGCTGATGGTCCTTCTTGAGCATGTGATCAGCTGGTTCTGGTTGTCAGCAGCAAACTGGTTGATCCACTCTGAGAAGGTGCTATTTAAGAGACTGAGCTGAATACAGCTCCTCAGACTGAGGAAGTCTCTCGGATGAAAGACGAAATGTTTCTACATTTTTTTGTTGATTTGCTTTGTTTTGTTTTTCTGAATGTCCAGAGGACCAGATTTAACTTTTTTGGATTTTTCTACCTGGATTATTGAGCAGCATCAGGACATGTTGTTTTGTGATTTGTACATCTGTGGATTAGAATAAAGTTGAACTAAAGGCTGTATCTCTTTTTTAAACACGTTTGATGGAAATCTTCCTGAGATTCAATAATTTTGTGTTTTTTATGATTTTTCAGCTGAGTTGACTTTAACAGATTATTTCAATTCATCCATCCATTATCTTTACCCGCTTATTCCATTTTGGGTCACGGGGGTCGCTGGTGCCCATGTCCAGTAATCACTGTGCGAGGGGCGGGGGACACCCTGGACGGGTCTCCAGTCCATCACAGGGACACATAGAGACAAACGAGACAAACAACCATTCACTCTCTCTCTCACACCTAGGGACAATTTAGAGTTACCAATCAGCCTAACATGCATGTTTTTGGTCTGTGGGAGGAAACCAATTCAATTCAGTTTATTTATAAAGCACCAAATCACAACAAGTTGTCTCAGGGCACTTTACAGAAACATTCACATAAAAGTCAATTAGTAAAGTTCTCTATCTAAGGAATCCTAAGGAAGACGTTAACAGATTATTTAATAAAGTCATTAAAGTGAAAACAGGATTTCATGATAAAGCCATCATCATTTATGTTTTTTAATCTTCACTGATAAAAAAAACAATTTTTTTTACACATAAAATGTTTTTAACAATCGTTTCCACCCTCTGTCCCAGACCCGTCCCAGTCCGCCCGTCTGCTGTGGCTCAGGCTCTGGACCCCGACCTCGCCCGCTCCTGCAGGTCGGCAGCTCAAAGAGTTCTCTGGTGACCAGCGGAGCTCCATCAGCTCGCTCTGAATTTTGTCGTCGGCCACCAAGCACAAAAAACGCCTGCACTTCAGCGTTAGACCACGGTGTTGTTGTTATTGGCTTTAAAATCTTTAAAATAGGTCCAGTCGCTCCTCAAGTTCGAGTTATAGCAAATGGCGGATCAGAGTGTTGTGAAAGTTTCTCAAACAACCAGTGACTCCGCCCCCTGACCCATCAGTGAGCGACAGTGTTCTGACGTCATGTTTCAAGGCCAGCATGGTACGCTTGGAGCCCCAGAGAAATGGGTCCTGAAAAAGGGGCCGGTTCCACGAACCATTACTAGTGGAACCGAGTGGAACCATGCTGAAGTGGCACTAATGGAAAAGGGGCGTATAAGACTGAGCTTAGTACAGCTCCTCAGACTGAAGAAGTCTTTTGGGTGAAAGACAAAACGTTTCTATAATTTTTTTTAACCCATCCAGAGGACCTGACTTAACTTTTTAGATTTTTCTACCTGGATTATTGAGCATGCATCAGGATATGTGGATTAGGAAGCTTCACAGTCTTTGTTAAACTAAGAGCATTTTCTGCTGAAGAGCATGCACACTTAATCATCCTTGATCGTATTTGAAAATCACTAAAACAATGTTAAAGCTGCAACTAAACCATCTGATATTCAACACACGAGCCTCAAAGAGACAGAACTGCTCTGAACAGGTGACCCACCTGACGCTGGATCTGTGGAGGACACAGAGACTGCTGGGCAGTGAGCTGCTGGACCATGATGGGACCCAAACAAAGTTCTGCCACAGGGGGAACCTGGGACAGCTGGAGGGAACGGTGAGGAGGCAGTAGACCCGGTCCTGGGAAACACAAAGAGATAAAGTTGTATCTGTTTCGGGCAAACCTTTTAACTCACTCAGCTACTAGCACACCCAGTGTTAGCTCAATATCTGTAAAACTGACTGAGTTTAGGCAGTTGTAGTGGCCATCTTAAATGGGATTGGCTCCAGAACTTAATCAAAGATTACTGTCTGAAATCCACCTGGCTGCCCTCAAACTGAGGTCAAACTTGAGCCAAAGAGCTTTGACTTCCTCCTGATGTGGTCAAAATAAATCAGTTTGATAAAGTTTATGAGTAACGTTAGCTGACACTCACAGGAAAGAGCTGGAACAGATATGGCAAACACTCGGCTGATCTGTAAGAACAGAAGAAAGTTAAAGGAGAGTCTGAGTTTGTGCCAACACTGTTGATCAGGAAGAACAACTGGTGGAGCAATCTGCCCACAGCTTCAGGTCCCCGTGGCTCTGAGCCCTCGTTAACAACGTGCTGGCTCTCAGCAGGAAGCCACTCGCCTCCACGTTCAGGAACAGCTGGGAGCTGACTGATGCTGCCACCAAAGCTGCCAAGTCTCTTCGTCTCCACGGGGAAGAACGACAGGAGGTGGGCGGTGTTTTCCACTTGAACCATACGGAGTGTTTCACCCGAACACTCAGAGGCGTTCCCTCTCCACAGTCACCGACCTGACGCTAAAGACTACACCTCTCTGAGCTGCTGCTGATGGAGACTTCATAATGAAACAAATACTAAAATATGCTCAGACACTTCAAGTGCAACAAATTTACTCTGGAAACAGTCCCACTGTGGCTACATGGAGGAAACTGACCTCGTTTCATATTTCTTGTTCAGACTGAGGAGGTGAATGCAGAACGCGTTTGCTGAGGAGCTTCCTGTTGATGTTACCTCCACCTGGACAACAACAAAACACCTAGTTGTTCTACACAGAACCAGTTCTGGATCAGAGACACTTAGAGAACCTGAACCATGGAGGGCTTAAAGGAGTTTAAGGATTATATTCTGAGAACTGATCCAATCTGAGGATCCACTCCAGCCTAGTTACCTTCTGTAAACAAAACTGATTCTGGTCCACCTCAAGTTCTTCTGGATCCGACTGAGCTGCAGGTCCAAGGTTCTTCTGTTGTTGGACTTTGTAAAACTCTTCAAATTCACTGAGGTCAAAGCTGTTCTGAAGCGTTCGTACATCAATGTCAGCAGTAACGCTGACAAAGCCAACAACAGCTCCATTAATCTGTGGAGGAGAACATCTGATCAATAATCTGTGGAGGAGAACATCTGATCAATAATCTGTGAGGAGATCATCTGATCATTAATCTGTGAGGAGAACATCTGATCAATAATCTGTGAGGAGAACATCTGATCATTAATCTGTGAGGAGATCATCTGAT